TCACTGAAGCTGGGTAACTCAGAGCTCACTGAAGCTGGGTAACTCAGGGCACATCAGCTGGCAGGAGGCACCTCCAGGAGTTCTGCTGCTGACTGTGTTAACACCATTCCATTTACAACATGTACAAAAAAACTTCTGACCAAGAAATGGAGAGGGGAAGGATGTATTTCAGAAGCACAAGCTTGTCCCAGGGAAAAACCAGTCCTGCCCTGAACTGCCATGCCAGTTGCCTCGTGTTCGTAATGGCCACATCGATTCTGCTCTGATCTTAGTTCCTTACCTCCAGTGATGACACTAACCAGACCCTGGAGCTGCAGGGGTGACTTCCCAGCCCTCAGGAAGCCGAGTGCTTTCGGCTGCTCTGCTGCAGCTCAGACATCACCCGTCCATCTGGCCTGTTGGACGCGGCTGCCACGCAAACAGCCGAGGCAGCAAAACGGACGTTCATCTTTTCCTTCAGTTCTCAGCCAAATTCTTGATTTTTTTGCTCAGGATGAGTCTGCATAAAAGCGTGAGACTCTGCCCAGTGAGAGCAGCATACACACAAACTCTGCTTAAACCCCTGCTACAGAGGCAGAGACATTTGGTAGGTGTCTGAGTGAACCCTGCAGACTGCAAACCATGTATCACAGCATCTAAATCTGCCAGAGGTGGTGTGTCAGAAACCTCAGTAAAAGAGCTGAGAATTATTCTGGGTTTTTAAGGGAATTTAATGTAGATAGAGATCTCTAGGAATTAAAGTTTTCAGCACCAACTATACTAAACTCTCCTGCTCACAACTGAAACTACCTCTGAAATGTTAAGGGACATGGACACACAGGACAGAGCACAGCTTCACAAAAAGGACAAGGTGCTGATCTCCAGTGCTCAGGTGCTCCCACCAGATACTGGTCTGACACCACCAGTCCAGGTCACTAGGCCCATTTGCTCCAAGCCCAGTGAGACCTGGTGATACAGAAGGAAGTTTTCTTGTGCTTCCTGCTACTCTCAGACTTGTACTGTCAGCTTAAACACTGAGCAAGTGTTTTATAACAACCTCCACTGTTAGGTATTGAAGCTGAGTAAGAAGAGTTCCTCACAAATAAACCAAAAAACCCATTCCTTTAGGATTAGGCCCCGTTATCCTGCAAATAAAGTGGGATGAAATGTTCATGTTGCAGCTTGGAGTGCAGGTGCTACACCAGGGTATAGAGCTGGGTGAGGGAGGGGTCAGAGTTACAGTTCTGCTACACTGAGAGTTTAATTGTGGGGATGATTTTTACCTTGGCATGTCTCTGAATTACATCTATGCAGGAGCTTAACCACCTTGCAAGACAAACTGGCAGCCAGAGCTGTTGCTCTGCCCTCAGTGCATCTTGCCTCATTTCTCAGGGACCCCTCCTTGCTAGGAAACTTTTCAAACATAAACGGAGGCATAAACTACTCCAAATCTCTTTGTGTCACCGCAAACTGACTTTCAGTTGTAGGCAAGAAAAAGAAAAGGAAAAATGACTGGGGGCTACATGCAAACATTACTATTCAAGAGCCCCAACTAACTCAGCCCAGCTCAGAGCCCTGGTCACCAGCACACTGCTCCAGGAGCAGATAGGAGCTCAGGAGCATGCAAAGTCCTCTGGCACAAACACACAGTTCAACCTGGAAATCTGCAAATATGTGATCTGCATTCCTTTTCACACAACAGTACTCAGACATACTCAAAATGGGGTCATTTGGGCCCATTATTACAACTGCTCTGCAGAAGCCCCACTGACACAGTCCTGCCCTGACTGACCACGGCGCTTTAGGCAAAGTGTGGATGGAAGCAGAGCCCAGCGAGGGGCAGAGATCAGCTGGGCAGAACAAGCCCATGTGAAAAGAGCAGAGAAACAGAGCTTGGTCAGCTCAGGAAGAGAAGACAAAGTCTTCAAATGCTTCAAACTGAGCTGCAGAGATGTAGGGAGTGGAGGGATGTAGAGTGTTCTCCACATGCTCTGGAGCTCAGAGAAGGAAGAGGTTTAAAGCGACAAAGATTTAGATTAAACACCCCAAAACCCCTCCCTAATGGTGAGGAGGCCCAAGTGTTGGCATCCATCACTTGTACAGGATGTGGAATTGCCAGCAGAAAGAGCCTTAGAAGAAGAACCATTACTTGAGAAGGGTTTAGACTTGTGTACCTGACCTTAGTCAGTGCTGGGAAAAATGAGGACATCTCTGCAGGTCCTCTGCGTCTGACGCCATGAAACAAAGTTTCAGAGATTGCTTTAAATTAGACATAGGGCAGGGACACAGCTCTCGGAGCACTCTCACCCTAGACTGAAGCACAGCTACTTGATGAATAACATCATCATTTCATACCCCAACAGCATCTTTCACTTGAAGACACCTAATTGTCCTGCAAAATTAATTAAGTTTCTAGAGAAGTGCGCCAAGAGTTAAACTTTATAAAAATTTTAGGCCCAGGAAAAGCAGGGGCACAGGCTCAGCACTTGCAGAGGGTGCCACTGGGCCTCCTGTTCTAAAGCCTGCATTTGCTTTCTTTTAATTAGCTAATCACCTGATTTATTTCATACCAAATATTTGACTGAAAAGCAGATTATCAAGGTGCAGAACTGTCACTTGCTGAGATGCAAATACCAAACCAGGAGGACCAAGGTGCAGCATATCTCTCTCAAACAAAACAGGCTCCAACCTTTAACTAAATAAATCCCTTAAATAGCACAGAAATACCTGCATTTCCCTTCTGCCCTTTTGTACTCCCTGATTTCCATCTGTATTTTCATACCATCTACTGGGCAGATCCTGAACTACCCGCTGGCACAGGGAGGCCCTGTAGGGCTGCAGCCCACGGCAGCTTGACCCAAGCTGAGCCCCCCACGAGCCCAGTTTTATTCCCCATATTAACACCAAGCACAGGACAGTGCCTGGGATGAAGCACCATCCCATACCCCAAATATTCCTAGCAAGTGCACAGAGACAGCACAGCCTGGCCAGCAGAAGTGTGAGGGTAAGGAGAGGAAGGCAAGAGGAGGAGGAGGAGGCCCAGCCCAGCCCACGCCGTTGCTCAGGCGTTGAACCGAGGTGGGAGAACATCTTCCCCCAATATTACTGGCTGCGAAGAGCAGCGACCACATGGCTGTTCCCAGCCACTCAGTGCACGCTGTTTACTATAAACAAAAACAGTAAACAGAAACTCAGCCAAAAAACCAAAGCCGGGACCCCGACCTGGGTCTCCATACCCTGACTTTCCCCATGGAAATAATTACTTTCATATTCAGCAGCTGAACCCAAACCACCCAAGGCCCGAGGGAGCCAAGCTGCTCAGTGCATCCCAAACTCGGGCCGCCTGTTTGGATTTGCCAGCTCTGCCTTCAGTCGTCCAAACTGCTGCCACAGTTTCACACGGGAGCTTCAAAGAGCCTGCGGATTAAACCTGCGCGGCAGGAGCCAGCCGACACGGGGGTTATTTTTAAACATCTCAACTGTGCACGAAACGCTCGAATGTTGTCTCACTCCCAGCTCTACCCCAGCACCCGGCTCGGGGGGGCTGTGAAGGAGGCGCAGATTTTCCCCAGGGATGGTGGTTATGGGGTTTCTCCGGCAGGTCCCGGGGGTCACCCCGACACCTCCAGCTGCGGGATCCCGCGGGGGTCCCGCTCGGAGCACCGGGGTCCATCCCCACACCCCCGGGGTCACAGGACGGTGTCACTGAGCCCGCAGGGCTCGACGGGGAGGAAGGGCACAACCCCCCCGGCACAGCCCGCAGGCGGGGGCCACCCCCTGCAAACCCCCGGCAGCTCGTCCCGCTTCCCTTTTCCTGCCGGGAGCGTCCGGCCGACACCGAACAGCGCCGGGGCCCGGGGGAGGCTCCGGCCGGGCCAGGCACCGCTCCGAGGCCTCGGGGCGAGGCGGCACCGCGGCTGCCCCAGGCCCTGCCCGGGGACACCCGGCAGAGTAACAAAGCCCTGGAAGCGGCTTCCCCGGGAGCCACAGCCCGGCCGGGCAGCGGCGGGGCCGGGGGGCCCGCGGGGCGCTGCCTCGGGCCGGGGGGCGCCGGGGCCGGGCGGTCCCCAGCAGGTGCGGGCGGTGACAGCCGCCCCCGGCCCGGGCACCGCGCGGAGGCGGCCGGGCCGCGCTGACAGGCGGGAGGGGATCCGGGCCGGCTGAGGGCCCGACCCTCGCCCGCCCCCGTCGCGCCTTCCCGGGCCGGGCCGGGCCGGGCTGAGCCGCCCTCTCACCTGCGCGGCCGCCGAGCGCTGGCGCTGCTCAGTCCCTCAGTCCCTCGGTCCCTCAGTCCCTCGCCGCCGCCGCCGCCGCCATGTTCGCGCTGCGCAGGGAGGCGGGGAGGGAGCGGGGGGAGCGGGAGGAGGGACCGGACAGCCCGGCCCGGCCCCGCCGCCGGAGCGGCTCCGGGGACAGCGGGGATGGGGGGGCCGAGCGGCCGGGCTGGGCTCGGCCCGGCTCCGGTTCGGCTCGGCTCTCACAAATTCCCTTCGACCGTCGCTGCCGACTCCGGACTGTCCTCCCTCGGGGACAGACCGCCGTGCTCACTCCGGGCACGGGGCAGACCCTCAGGGTCTTCCCTGTGGGGAAGGGACCCCCGTGTGCCCACAAGGGCCCCTCTAGGGCGGGGCAGACCCCCACCGTGATCTCCAGCCTGGGAACAGCCCCTCCTTTGGACCCCACTGTGAGCCCCAGCCTGGGTACAGCCTCCCCTGACTTCTGTGCAGCTGACTTCTGTGCCATCCCAGCACCGCTGGCACAGGACAGACCCTCCGTGAGCCCCAGCCTCAGGATGGGCCCCCCATGCCCACCCAGGACACAGGGACACGGGGCAGACCCCCACCATGATCTACATACCCAGAGTGGTGCCCCAGTGACTGCCCAGGACCCTCTGGGCACAGGGCAGAGCCCCACTATGACCCTCAGTCTGGGGATGGACCCTCTGTGCCCATCAGAGACCCCCTGGGTACTACAGAGTGATGTCCATCCATGTCTGGGGCCCCACTGGAGACAACCAGGCCCCACACAGCACAGCCAGGTCCAGGGGACAGGCAACCCCCAGATATTCCCCTTCCTCCAGTACTGGGCAGGGCCTCTCACTGCAACACCATCCCAGCTAGAGAAACCACAGGTGTACACATGTATTTGGGGACTATTTGGAATTTAGTGTCCCTAAATTCCCCCCAGGCAAAGTAAGACCCCTGTGACTTCCAGCTAAGAGGATCCCTTGTGCCACTGTTGTACCTCATTACCTTCACGCGCCATCCAGACAGACCCCTGTGCAAGCTGACCCCATGAACACCCATGGACCTTGGTGGTATCTCCTGACCAGAGACTTCTCTGTGGTGTAGAGCAACCAGAGCCTACAACTGGTACCTGAAAACCATTCCCTGTCACCCCTTATCTTGGGAACTCCCAGGTAACAAGCGATAGAACAAGAGGAAGTGGCCTCAAGTTGTGCCAGGGAGGTTTAGATTGGATATTGTGAAAAATTTCTTCTTGGAAAGGGTTGTCAATCCCTGGCACAGGCTGCCCAGAGCAGTGGTGGAGTCTGATGTGTAGATGTGGCACTTGGGGACATGGGTTAGTGGTGGCCTTGGCAGCACTGGGTGAATGGTTGGACTAGATCTTAGAGGGCTTTTCCAACCCAAACAATCGGTGGTTCTGTGTGACATGTGGCTACTGCAAGGCCACCTTTACCCTCACATCCTCTCTCTGCTCCTTGGATTGCCCAGAGAAAAAAAAAAGCAACAAAATTCTTGTGTTCTCGAGATTCAGTTCACATCTAAAAGCTGCTCATGTGAGTGGTTGGTGGATCTAAAGGACCTCTGGCGGCAGCAGTGACTTCTCATGACCTGGGTATTTCACTGGGACATTGGAGGCTTCACAGAATCACAGAATGGTTTCTGTTGGAAGGGACCTCAAATACCAGCCAGTTCCACCCCCTGCCATGGACAGGGACACCTTCTGCTTGCCCAGGTTACTCAGAGCTCCATCCAACCTGGCCTTGGACACTTCCAGGGCTGGGGCATCCACAGCTTCTCTGGGCAACCTGTGCCAGGGCCTCCCCACCCTCACAGGGAAGAATTTTTTCCTAGTATATTTTCCTATATATTTTCCTCCATCCCCTTGGAGTGACAAAGGCATGTGACAAGTCTTCTCATTTCCATTCATCTGAACCATTTCCAAAGTACTTATAGTGACATGGCTAACGTTGGAGTCTCTCTGTGAGTGATTTCTTGTGCTGGGAGATTACATGGAAACTTGAGTGGTTTAGGTCAAAACTGAGGCAGAAGATCAGAAAGAAACATTGCTAGTGTGGACACGGCTTAATGGAGTCTGGAAAGGTTGTTCCTAGAAAGCCCTGCTGTGTTTGGGGGCTTCCTGCAGTGAGTGGCTTTGTTACCTGTGATGCAGGGAAGGCAAAGCCAGGATTCAGCTGTTCCCTGCCTGCTGCCAAATCTGCGGAACCTCCTGGTCCTGGCTGGGAACCCGCACTGGGGCCGGCCAGGAGCACAGGGTGAGCGGGGGCTCTGGGGTTCATCGAGATGGGGGGACCTTCCCACCACTGCCCAAGCCTTCAGGAAGGGCTGGAAGCACCTCAGCCCATTCCTGTCCTCCTGTGCTTCCTCCAGTGCTTCCCTTCAGAGGAGTGAATGCCATGGCTGTGTTGGGCTGAAGGCTGCAAGATTCCCAAGGGACTGAATCTTGTGGCTGGACTCTGCTGAAGACAAGAGACACCACAGAGGTGCTCACACTGGCCTGGTTCAGGTGCTGAACTCGGTTCAGCCTCTGTAAGGCTGAAGGTCCTGCCCAAGGCCAAATAAGCTTCTGCCTGACCAGCAGCTGACTTCTGGGGTACAACAACTAGTCCACAGGTCTTCAACCCCCTTCTCAGGGGAATAAAAAGGAATCAATACTCTCAGAGCAAAATAAACCTGTATTTGCCTCTTTCTTCCCTCCCCCCCCCCCCCCCCAAAAAAAAAGGGGCATAGTTCATCAAACAGAGCTGTTCCAGAGCTGCTGTTTGGAGGCTTCTCATGTCTTCTGAATGGCGGCACTGACCATGCCGTGGACCAGCACTGGCCTGGAAAACCTCTTGTTCCTAAAATATTCACACTGAGAAATGGACAGTTGGAAATTCTGGTGAGGACTGTGCACTCCGTTTTAAGATGTAGAGCACACAGTTATGGTAGGACACAGAGGTGTGTTTTCTTCCTTCATGGTGCTGCCTCTCAACCTGGCATCTGAGCACCTTCTATATGAATTCACAAGTATTACCAATGCTCTTCATGGGTTTCATCAACTCTGGTATTTCCTCAATTCCACGATAATCAGGATTTCATGAATGGAATAAATGCACAAGAACTCAGAGTTGCAAGATGGAGGCAGGAGCAAAATTTCTTCATTAACTTTAATTTGGAATGAGCAGCAGCTGAGTTCAGAGGGATTTACATATGACATCCATATGAGCACCACAGGAATTCAGTTTGATTAATACTACAATGGAAACGAGCTGCAGAAATGGTTTGCCATTTATTCTGAAGTGTTGCCAGAAGAGCTCAGCGCATTTGCAGCCTGGTTTGGGCCAGCTCTCAGAGAGTGCCGGGGTGATGGATGGCTGGGAGGGAACAGCCTCAAAGGGGCACCGGTACCCAAGTGCCCGCAGAAGGAGAGAATATAAGGCAGGGGAATATAAGGCAGTGACTGGGAAGAAAACCTCCTGGGCTGTCCTTCTGCCCTCCCTCTGCCTCTCGCGTTATCGCCCACCAACGTCCGTCACCAAACGCCCTCCTAGGCTGGTTCCCACTATTTGCAATGTTCCCATTGATGAACTGTGTTTTCTGCCACAAACTGATCCTCAGTCTGGCATGGATGACATAAATATAAACCATTTTCTACTTGAAAGAAAGAAAGAAAAAGCCTAATGTCATCTGGTCTGTGACTTTCTTATCCTAAATCTGATACTTAATAAAAAGGTGAGTAATAGGGCATCTAGAGGAACATGTGCACCCAGTATTCCTGCCTCTCTCATCCATATGCTCTTCAACCTGACATCTCCCTTGGAGATGGGACATGGGAGTCTTTTCCCCATGCCTTGAAAGGTTATTTACAGAGATTAAAGCCCCGACAAGCAGCAGATCACCTTGCAGGACCTCCCATACATTTCCTTTCCCAAAGCAGTCTCATATTGAGACCAGCTGTTGAATTTACCAGGGTCTGTCTGCCCCAGAGAGTCTATTTTTGTAGTGAAGATTTCGTGGCCTGAAAAATCACCTTTGTGAATACCAATGCAGTGAATTTTGGTAGTGGGAAATTGCCTGGCCTCGTGCCCCAAACGAGCAATCACAATTGCAGAGTGATCCACTGCGTGAAGGCTGCCCACTGCAAACCCATATGAGCCCCCCTTCCACCTCCTTGTGAGGCAAACGAACACATTTTCTCATTATAACACGTCTCTCCTTCTATTTCTCATGGCTCTTTTCAACTGTTTCTGTCTTTTCCACATGCCAGGTGGACACCAAGTCTGGGTGCAAAGTGCCAAGGTGTCACCGTGCCACATCCAGGGCTCACTCCCCTCCCCTCCCCTGCCTGGTTCAACACACCCCTTTCCGTCAGTAAATGCACCCAAATTTAAGCTAAAACCCCTCTGTAAAGAATCCCTCTTGCAGTTCAGATCTGCTTTGCTCCCCCTGAACTTCTTCCCAGAGTTGCTGCTTTCTTGATCCCACCCCTCCTTTGCCATTAGCGCCCCGTCAAGCTTGGGTACATATTTATCATATTTCTGTTATTCTAATATGAGATGATTATATAATTATTATTTAATACCAACATACAACCCATAATTATCTGATTTCAGGCTGACTCAGCAGTTGACTGGTATTTCCAAAGCCTGCTATATTCTTCTGTCAACAGTTTAAGGATGCTTCTGTTTGGGTTATCCAGGTTTAGGTGTAAAAAAATCAGTTTATTTTCAGTGTATATTGTTTAAAGTTCTTGGCTAATAACAGTCCTGCAAGTCCTTCATCAGCCTTATGAAAAAAGATCCGTGTTCTCTCCAAAGGCAGAATTTAGGAAGTTATTGAACACTTGATTTGTTGCTGCTGTTAATAAATTTCGTGTGTCTATTAATAGACCCATATGGGTTTGAATTCCCTTTGTTC